AATCCCTTCTCTTATTTTGATATTCAACAAGATCAAGCACACAATAGATCCCAATTGAGTTGTCGATATTGCTACTCCTTTGCGTTCTTTATCTCCAAAGCTTTCGCGCACGAATGATCAAATTGTACCTATTGCAAACACAAGACTTCAATTGTGATTTGTCTTTCTCACGCTACTTCCTTTGTGTTTTTATCTCCAAAGGATCCCTTGCATTTTTATCTCCAAAGGACTTTACTTAACCGTAATCACCTCTTGAAGTCTTGCACAAAAACCTCCAAATCAACCAATGATCTTGGAGGACAAACCCGTAGTTTTTCTAGATGAAGACCCCTACAAATCTCAACCCAATATTCATCAATACACAAGAACCTAATCAGACGTTAGCAAACCTCATCTATATGGAACCCTAATAAAACATCATTACAATGTAATGCTAGTGTGTATGCATAGATTAGAGGTTAAAAATGAAGAGCAAATGTGGGCTAATTTTATGTATCATCAAGTTGGAATGATGCATGAATGATATATTTATAGTTGGTCTATTTTTAGGTAAAAGAGGGAAGTTTCAGAATGAAAAAATTATGAAAAAATGACCCACAAAATAGTATGTGTTAACCTGAAAAAATCATGTGTCGACACATGCAAAACAGTAGCTACAAGTTTAATAATGCAGTACATGTGTCAAGCTATAAATCGTATGTGTCGACACATGTGTCTGTGTTTTAAAGAAGAAATTCTAAATACTTTAATAATGCAGTACATGTGTCGACCTATAAATCGTATATGTCGACACCTGCTGACGCTTTTAAGAAAATGCATAAATGGTGAATTTATGTGTCGACACATACAAATTTCAGGTTGACACATAAATGTTGATTTTATGCAAAAACTGGTTTTTTTCATTATTGGGACCAACTTTAAAGTTGTTTTAAATGATTCCTAAGACCTCTAATGCAAGGGAGTGCCACATGACATATAGATACCGTCCAATATACGGAAATGCTAAGTTTTCCTAGTTTTGACATCATGTAAAACATCTAATGGTGAAGTTGCACTCACATACTCACAACCTACCATGATATGCTCAGGAAGGTTTGGAAAAGGTATGACTATATGCTCCTCAATCTTAACAACACTATGGAAGGTATTGATCACTGGAAATATTACTCGTTTGATCAGGTTAAGAGAAAGAAATATGAGATTATGAAGAGATTATATGGCATTGAAAGGAATCTTCAAAGGCAATATAATTATCGTGGTATGAAAAGATTGGAAGCAAGGCTTCAATCTGAGTTAAGTAGTATTTTTAACCAAGAAGAGTTAATGAGGTACCAACGATCTAGAACCAATTGGTTAGCTGATAGAGATCGTAATATAAAATAGTACCATATGAAGACTATCACTAGAAGAAAGAGGAACAAAATTCTAAGGTTGAAGGATGAGAATAGGTATTGGATAGAATATCATGAGAAACTTCAAGATCCAGTGACTAACTATTTCAAAGCCTTATTTGCTTGCCCTTATAAGTGTTGTCCTTAGAAGCAAATTAACATATCTTATCCAAAGTTAGATATGACAACGTGATAAAGGTTGAATGAGAACATAAGTGATGAGGAAGTTAAAAGAGCCATTTTTGCGATGAAGGCCTAGAAGGCTCCTTGGCCAGATGGCTTTCTTGCAGGCTTTTATCAAAAAGCCTGGGAGATTGTGGGGAGAAATGTTTGTGACTTTGTGCATTATGTTTGGAGGAATCTGAGTACAATTGGTGAAGTTAACAAAATTGATATTCACTTGATCCCTAAAATTGAGCATCCTCAAAATGTCAGCCAATTCCGCCCTATCTCTTTGTGCAATGCCATTTATAAAGTTGTTACAAAGGTTCTTGTGGAAAGACTAAAATCTCACATGACTACTTTAGTTTCTCTGTTTCAGACCGGATTTGTGCCTGAAAGATTAATTTACGAGAATGTCATAGTTTCCAATGAAGTAATGCATTGTATGAACAAGAAAAAAGGGAAGAAAGGTTTTTTTGCCATCAAAATTGACCTCGACAAATCCTACGACAAAATCAATTGGGAATACATATGGAGAGTTCTGGTTGAGATTGATTTACCTGAAAACATGATTAATCGTATAATGCATGGTGTCATAAGTATGGAGATCAACATCAACTAGAATGGAAGTAAAAGTGCTTTTTTCGGCCTCAACGGTGTATCAGATAAGGAGATCCTATCTCCCCATATCTCTTTGTGCCTTGTATGGATAAATTACCCCATCTGATTGAGCATGAAGTTATCCAGACAAGATGGAGTGCTTTCCAAATTGGGAAGAAAGGTATGAAAAATTATCATTTAATGCTCGTTGATGATCTTCTCCTCTTTGGTGAAGCCACTGAGAAACAAATGCAGTGGTTTAGCAGTAACCTTCGAACCTTCTATCAATTATTTGGCCATGAAGTGAGTAGGGAGAAGTCTAGCATCTTGTTTTCGAATAATGTCAAGAAAGGTTTGAGAATTCATCTAGTGAAGCTTTCTGGATTTAGGGAGACCAATAACTTTGGAAAGTACCTAGGCGTTCCTCAGTGGGAAAACCCTAAATAGACAAGATTTTCAACACATAATTGAGCAAACTTCAAATAAACTTGCATGTTGCAAGGCTAGATACTTATCTTTTGCTGGTATTATAACATTGGAAAAAGTGTTATGGAAGTTATTCCTGTGTATTCTCTGGTGACTAATTTTATTCCCAATGCTTGTGTTAGAGATATTCAAAAGTTTCATCACAACTTTATTTAGAGAGATACATATTCCAAAAAAAGATGCATGCAGTTGGGTGGGATACAATCACTCTGAATAAAGAATCTAGAAGTCTAGGGCTGAGAGATCTTGGAACTATGAATCAAGTCTGCATCATGAAATTAGGATGGAAGTTGATGAATAATTCAGATGATCTCTGGTGCAATGTCCTTAAAAGCAAGTACCAAATTAAGAATCACCATACTACACTACTATGGAAAAGGAATTTAACAACGATTCGGAAAGATATATAACCACGTGGGACTAGGCGTTATTATGTAGCATGTGGTTGTATATGTGGTACTTACAACATGGTTCAGTGACCGTTGTAGTAAACTGGAAAGCGCGCACCTTATAACAATGGTTATTCCTATTAACCATTGTGATAATGTATATGAATAAATGTCAAATTTTCATACCAGAATCAACACTAAACCAATTTTGAATTGATATTAAAACTTGTATTATAAGTACACAATTTCATTAAGTAAATCAAAATTTGAACAACTCGAGGTATGCAATCTTCCCAACTTCCAAGAGAAAAGAAAGAATATAGAATTAAAGAAACAATGATGAGAACCTTTGGTTTTTAAACTTCCAAGAGAAGAAGATGAAGAATTAGAAGGAACAATACAAAAGCAGAAGAACTAAAATACAAAAACAACTTCATCCAAAGGAATCAACATGTCTTATCCTACTCAAGCTACCAATAATATTGAGAATAAAAATGTTGTTGTAGAGGGTGCGGTGGTGAAAAGCCAGCCTCAAAATCAAGATGTTGTTGTTGAGGGTGTTGTGGTGTAAAACCATCCTCAGATTCAAGATGTTGTTGTAGAGTGTGATGTGTTTAGACTAATGAGAGGTCTCAGGGTGAGGAGAAGAAGAAGTTTGAGAAGGAAAATGATGATTTTTTTTTCAATTCTGATGATGATGAGGCTGACTATGATTGGTCTAACTTTATCTCAGCGAGAGGATTTCGATTTGATTATCGTTTTTTATCATGTAATGAAAGTTTTATGTAATGAAGTTTTAAGCTGCTTAACTCTCTTAAGGTTATCAACTTAAACATTCAACTCAAACTATCAACTTAACCTATCAACTTAAACTACAAAATATATAAAACACATAATTGTAAGTGAAAATTCAACAGTTTGTGATGAACTTACTCATAAAAAACCGTTTGTTAGTTGCATTCCTATCAAGTTTACTGCATCTTCAACTATTACATTTCATAACAAATAAATATTAAACATAAAGTATATAAGAAAATATAACATTTTAAAGTTTTAAACCCTACTTCCACTATTACATTTCATAACAAAGTAAATATTAAACATAAAGGAGATAAGAAAACATAACATTTTCAAATTTCTAGAAAATCTCTCTGACTTCAGTTTGTTCTTCAAATTCTTGTTCTTCTTTTTTGAATCTTCATACATAACCTTCAAATACCCAACAACTTCTAACTCTGGCATCATATTACTCTCATCTTCCAGTTTTTCTCTCATGTCTTCATCCCATATGAACAAATTACATGTTTCATCACTCCACCAAAATGGACATCTCCAAAAAAGCCTTCATTTATTTTGATCCCTCTTGCATTGGTACGAAACCATACGACTGTCACAACCATAGAAATTTCCAGATTGAGATTTTACAGTGGAATAAGACATAGTAACACCTTTGGATGAGTTACTCTTCAAATGAGATATTGAGACGAAACTGGACAACAACAATGAGTGTGAGTGTTGTCTCTTCTTCCTGACAATGTCGACGACGTTGGTGTTAGGGTTATTTCTTTTATCAGTGGAAGAATGGGTACTTAGTGTTTAATATATATAAAGAAGCGTCAGTGTGTAACAACGGTTTTACAAAAGAGCCGTAGTGATATCCCTATTATTTTTTATTTATATATAAATATAATTGAAAATATGTGAATTAACATAATAGGGATAAACTATTTGAGGGACCTGAGGATCGAACCCATGAAAGTCGGACTGTATCACCACGGTTATGGAATTAACCGTAATTATAACCTTAAAATTTTCAATTAAAAAAAAAGTTAACGCATTAGTTTAGAAGTGTCACCACAGTTTTGGGGAGAACCGTGGTGACTTTGACGTTGTTGTATGCGCGTTTTGTAGTAGTGCTAACACGAGGTATAAGAATTTTGATTCTCATCTTTCGAAGGCGATTTCTAAAATTATGCCCCTCCTTTTGAATTCTAATATTTTGAGGGTTGGGAATGGTAAAGATATTAATGCTTTGAGTGATAGTTGGGTGGAACCGGGAAGGGGCATTAACGAGTATAATCTAAATATTCCTTGCAAGCTGAGGAATGCTAAAGTGAGTGATTTGGTGCACAATAATGGTGATTGGCAGAGGCACCTTCTGGAGAACTGGATGTCAAATACATTAAGATACTGCATTAAAGTTGTCTTGCCTTCTATGGATGATCAAAGGGGATATGCTACTCATAACTTGCAATGATGAATGGTCCTTCTCAGTAGGAGACATGTATAGGAAGCTGCAACATGATTATGGAATTAAAATTGATGAGACTTGGAGACAAATTTGAAAGTTGAAGGTGCCCGAAAGAGTGAGAACTTTTGTTTGGTTACTCAAACATGATTGATTGATGACCAACCATTGGAGAAGCATGTGTGGTATTGGAGTAGCTAGCTGCCACCTTTGCGAAAATGTGTGAGACAACCTTTCATGCTATAAGGGATTGTCTAGTGGCTAAGCAAACTTGGAATAATAGAGTGTCTCAGAGGCTTTTGAACATGTTTTCCAAGCTAATTTGCAGGAATGGATTCACATTAGTTTGGACGTGAACGACTATGCTAGTCTGATTGGTGTACATATTAGGCACTTGGCTGTCATAATATATGGAATTGGCGCAATAAGGATGTTCATGTTGATAATTATGTGAGACCCTTCAACACAAGAGCTATGGCGAAGATAGAATGAAAGATTACTACATGACTATTAACATGCACAAAACGGTTATGGAGAAAAAGTAGTCAGTTGAGGTATTAAAATTAATTCCTCCTAGAATTTTTTTTGTCAAGCTCAATGTAGATGGAGCTTGTGGTGCAGGTGGTATTGTCGGATGTGGAGGCGTTATTCAGAATGATCAAGGTAGATTGATCTGTGATTTCTCCAAACTTATAGACAAATGTAATGCTCTAAGATTTGAGGAGTGTTTGAAGACCTCAAACTTACAACTGCTCGAAGATATTCAAAAATAACTAAATATTGATTCCAAAATAGTGAAGTATAACATTAAATTGTTTTTTAGACTAAGCCTAAACAATTTATTTGTGAAAAGCATTTTTAATTTTTTTTGGTAGTGAAAAGCATTTTGTCATTTACATAGAAGGAGAATTTTTATCATTTTGTTTTTTATGATGCCAATTTGTCATTTTCTAAGCACAAAGATTCGTACCATTATTATGTATAGTCCACCAAATAGTCAACCTTGTAATCTTACTGGTTTAATGCTAAAATATTGTATTTTAGTCAAACTTTTAATATTACTGGTTCAATGATCAATTAATCTTACTTTATCTCACTTTAAGAAAAAAACACCATGTGTCCCCTATATTCATTAAAAATTATTAGTAGTACAATCTTTTAACTAACACACATATATTTTAAAAGTTATGTTTAAAAAATCACCATGTGTCCCCTATATATTCTAACTAATTAAAAAAAAACATTGATATATACTATTACTAAAATTCAAACAGTTTATCTCTTTAATTAAAAAACATAATAAATAATGATTACATATAAAAGATTTACTACAAAGATAAGATTTACTACAATTATAAAATATAATGATAAGAAATAATAAAACTGAATTTTCTTTCTTTCCACTTTTATAATATTTCCCATCCTTCTTAGCATTAATTAATCATCATTTCATTAACAAAGTAACTAACTCTACTAGTAATTTCCATTTTCAAAATTCATTCACGTGAATGAAAAAACAAAAATCAAAATTCAATAAAAACCGAATATTTCTTTTTCCTCTTCACTGAGGGAAAAAAAGAGAGATAGAATTTCCAATCGCAGTTGCAAAATCAGTGTGAAAAGAGAAGAAAAAGAAATGCATTTTACACAACCCATGTTTCAGATTTGATCCTTTTTCCTTTTGGATCTTTGCTTCTTCTTGTTCTTCCCATTTTTCTTTTTTCTATTCTTGAAAAAAATTCATATTCTGTTTGGATAAAAAAAATCTGATTTTGAGGCTAGCCCACATTAATTCAGTGATAATTCAATTCTGGGTCGGTTTCAATTTCGTCAAAATTGAATTTTTATGTCAGGTAGGGTTGTGAATTTTACAATGTAATGTGTAAAAATGTGTTTTTTTTTTTTGTGATACTGATTTGGTTTTGTGTGAAGGTTTTAAGGTTTCAATGAAGCGGCAATGAGGTGTGTGGATAAGAAATGGAGGTTAGATCAGAGGGTATACGTTTGAGGTTTTGGTTTGTTCGTTTGTGTTCAAGCATTGTGCTTTGGATTTGTTTGGTTCAGTTAGTGACAGTGAGTGAACTATGGCATTCACATTTGATTTCTGGGATTACTAGTGGTATATATAACATTGCTCAAATTCAGCTTCCTAAACAACATGAGAATGGTGTTGATCATTTGCCTCCTGTTTTTCTTCCTCCAAGTTAGTTTCTTGACTCTAATTCTTGTCTATTAAGTTCTTTTTTGTGTTTGATGTGAATTAGTTGAGAAGTGAAGTTTATGTGGATTGTTGATTGTGTGTTATGAAACTATCGGGTGTTAGATGGTTATGATTGTGATGATTAATTGAATGCAGGTGCAAATTGTATTAGTATTAGTAAATTTTGTGTTTTTTTTGGGTTCTGTGCTTGTTTTGATGTTGAATTGTGGATTGTGAAACCTGTTGGGAGCATGAATGATGATGAGGTACGCCTTAACTCTGTAGCACCGACACCTCTGAGAAAGTTGTCTAAGAAAGTGTGCCCGTGTCTGACATCCGTTGTCGGACGCTCCTCATTTCCGGCTAAAAATGAGTTGCTTTATAGTGATTCTATGAACCAATGCTTATTGATATACAGGTCTGATGGATAGCTTACTTTTATTTTCTCACTCGTATTAAAGCTTTTTGATCAAACAACTTTCAGGAAATTATACAAGTAATGGCTTTCTAAGAGTTTCATGCAATGGTGGCTTGAATCAAATGCGTGCTGCGGTTTGTACTCCATATTTTAATATTTCCCTGTTTGTATTATATACTCATTAAGAGGTATAATATTTCAGATATGTGACATGGTGACAATTGCTCGATTGTTGAATCTCACATTGGTCGTGCCTGAGCTTGATAAGACATCGTTTTGGGCAGACCCTAGGTATATACTTTGTTCTGATAATTATTTTTTAGTATCCTCTAATTTAATCTCGTTGTCATTTTAAAGTTCTTAGTTTTCTTTTTGCAGTAATTTTGAAGACATTTTTGATGTGAAGCATTTCATTGATTCTTTGAGAGATCAAGTTCGAATAGTGAAAAGAGTTCCTAAAAAGTTTAGTAGTAAATATGGACATACTAGCCTGGAGATGCCTCCTGTTAGCTGGTCGAATGAAAAATATTACTTGGAGCAGGTGCGCTTCTTTTACGAATCAGTCACATGAAGAAATTTCAAGTTATGGTGTAGCGTAGCATAGCAACATAGGTTTCAAAAAATTGCACTTCATTGAGTGTGTAAAAGTATATACGTTTTGTCTAATCTAATGCTATTGACTCGACACTGCAGATTCTGCCACTTCTTAGAAAGCATAAGGTGTTACACTTCAACAAAACGGATACACGTTTAGCTAATAACGGTCTCCCACTTGATCTTCAGAAACTCAGGTGCCGTGTCAATTATCAGGCGATTAAATTCACTCCTCAAATTGAGAATTTGGGGCGCAGATTGATTCAGATGCTTCATGAGAAAGGACCTTTTGTGGCATTGCATCTTAGATACGAGATGGATATGTTGGCTTTCTCAGGTTGTACTCAGGGCTGCATGGAGAAAGAAGCCGAGGAGCTTAAAAGAATGAGGTCTTTTTATTTTACTTGTGATCTAAGATTCTGTGAGATGTCTATATGCGATATAATGTTGATTTTGCATTGTGTAACTCAGGTATGCATTCCCTTGGTGGAGAGAAAAGGAGATAGTTTCTGACGAGAGGAGATCACAGGGTCTATGTCCTTTGACGCCAGACGAGGCGGCTTTAGTTCTTCAAGCCCTAGGTTTTGGTAGGAAGACACAGATTTACATTGCAGCTGGTGAGATTTATGGTGGCGAACGTAGGCTTGCACAACTAAGAGCAGCGTTTCCTAAAATTGTGAGTTTTCCAACATTATATTGGCCCGTTCCCTCTCCAGTTTTCTGTTTATTGTTTGAATCATCGCACAACCGTTGAAACTTGTTATCTCCACGATCGTCACTTTTTGCTGTTCAAAATTATACTTCCCCTGCCATATCTGACTCTGCGCGTTTACGATTCAGGTGAAAAAGGAAACGTTGCTAGATCGTGATGACTTACAGTATTTCCAGAATCATTCATCTCAGATGGCAGCCTTGGATTTTATGGTTTCAGTTGCGAGTAACACCTTTATCCCTACTTACGACGGGAACATGGCAAGACTCGTTGAAGGCCATCGCAGGTACGGATCCAGATTCTCTGCATTAATAAACACATGTATTTACATTTAACTAGCTCGATCGTTTGCAGGTATTCCAATTTCAGAAAAACGATCTTGTTAGATCGAAAAAAGCTCGTGGAATTGGTTGACATGCATCAAAACGGAACGCTAAAATGGAATGAATTCGCAGATGGCGTGAAACAGGTTCATGAAAAGAGAACTGTAAGGCCAACTCGGCGTACAGTTATAATCGACAGACCGAAGGAGGAGGACTATTTCTATGCCAACCCTCATGAGTGTCTGTGTGAGGAAACAAATTGTGATGAGTTTCTAGGTCATCACAATTCTAGTAGTCAAGTAGCATGAGTTATGAGGAGCAATCCCAAACTCTATTTCTTTGCAACCATTCTATTAAAATCTAAGTATACAAGAGTTTTGTAGGAAACGAATGTAGCTCTAAAAAGTGTAAAAAAAGATGGAAATATTTCTTCTTTTGAGGCTTGCAAAACATGGCCCTTCATTTATCTTTTATTAATTACTATTTTTCTTCCTTTAAAATATTCATTTCAATAAATATTAGTCAATTTACTTGAGGCATAAACCTTAAATTTTGTATCTAAAGCATTTGTAAATTAATGAATCCAAAAAAGTCTTGAATTTTGTATCTGTTGGTCATGTTGTCATTTAATGATATTGTTAGAATTGATATGACAAAGTAAATGTCACGGAAATTCCATGCGCCCCTTATATGTATGTTTTGTCAGAAAGGCATTACTGATTTTATTAAGCCGGCAGTCTACTCTCATAAATATCTTATTTGAATTATACTATGTTTTTAAGAAAATAATTAGATGTGTTGAATTTGATGATAAAATTAGAACTTCTTTATTAAATATTCTAAAATTATAGTTAGTGAAATAGTTGAAAAAAATAAAAATTAATAAATAAGGATATAATAGTGAAAAAAATAATAAATATTGTCTTGGTATTGTAAAGAGATATTTATTTTAAAATGAAAAAGAAAATGTAAAATGAGACGGACAAAGGAAGTATATTTAATAATATTATTTTCTAAAATATATTTTCAAAAATATATTTTCATTAGTTTAAATTAATTATTTTTTAAAAGTAAACTCTTGGCCCAATGTTTCGCTGCCTACTACATTGAAGGAGGGGTCATCGTTTCAAACCCTCTTGATTGCATAATTTTAAGTTTTTTAAGGAGGAGATCTAAATGGCCATGTAGGGAGTGTAGCAAGAGGTATGGTCTAAGAGAGGTGAATGTATAAGATAAATTTATCTTAGAGTTTTCGTCAGTTTTGGATCTTATAATAGCAAATACATGGCTTAGGAAAAGAGATGAGTATCTTATCACATATAAAAGTGGGGTGACATGTTCTCAAATAGATTTATTTCTTATTAGAAAGTTAGATAGAAAGATTTGTTTGGTTTGTAAAGTTATTTTGGGAGAGAGCTTGACTATCCAACACATAATATTTGTTAAGGATGTTAGAGTAAAGGGGAGAGCAAAGAGAAGAAGTCACATGAGAGTGTCACAAATCAAGTGGATGCATTTAAAGGAGAAATATAAAAAAGTTTCCAATACAAGATCTTAGAGGAAGGGTTTGGACAACCACAAGGAATTGCAAATGATATGTGGAATAAGATGGCCAAAGAGATTAGAAAAGTGGCTAAAGAGACGTTGGGAGAATCAAGGGATTTTTGGATCTAAGGATAAATAATTGTGATGGTGGAATGAAAAGGTCCAGAGTAAAATTAAAGTAAAAAGATATTGTTTTAAAGAATGGTCTAGGTGTAAAAATGTCAAAACTTGGAAAAAAATATAAGAAAGTTAAGAATGAGACCAAGAAGTCCGTGAGTGAAGAAAGAATCCAAGTTTTTGACGGATTATACAAATTTGTAAGAACCAAGGAGAGAGGAAAAAAATTATATATAGACTTGTTAAGGGAAAAGAAAGAAAGACAAGAGATTTGAATTAAGTGAAGTGTGTTAAAGATGAAGAAGGTAAATTTTTGTTTCAGAAAAAATATATAAGTGATAGGTTGAAGACATAATTCTACAATTTATTTAATGAAGGATATGATATCTTAACGGACTCTAACAAACTTAATATTATAGAAGAGGATAAACTATAATTACTACCTTCAGATTAAAAAAAACAAGAGGAAAGGAAAACCTTGAAAAGGATGAGTAACAGGAAGGCGGTTGTGCCAAACAATATATCGATTGAAGTATAAAAAATTCTTAGACAAATAGGTATTGAGTGACTCACCAAACTCTTTGAAGAAGCTATGAGGTTAAAGAAAATGTCATATGAATGGAGAAGAAGAATTTTAGTTTCAATCTATAAGAATAAGGAGGATATACAGATTTTTGTAAACTACAAAGAGATTAAACTGTGTGACTAAGAAAAGAGACTCAAGTCACTGAGAATTAATTTAGTTTTATGCTTGAAAGGTCGACTATGGAAGCGACATATCTACTATGACGTGTGATGGAGCATTATTGAAGGACAAACAAGAGTTGCACTTAATTTTTATTGACTTGGAGAAGGCGTATGATAGACTGCCTAGAGAGATTTTATGGAAAACCCTAGAGAAGAAAGTGTGAAGAAGATGTTCATCGTCTATCTTGATTTAGTTTTGATGAAGATTGTATTGGTAAAAAACTACAAGTATGTATATTCCTCTTTTAAGGGAAGAGGGACTCATAGGCCTCAGTAGATTTATAATGATGTATG